CGCCTGCCATGGGCGACGACGGCGCGGGCATGCCGCCGCCGCTGCCGCCGCCGCCAAGTCCGCCGCCGCTAGCGCCGCCGCCTGGGCGTGGCAGCACGGGCGCGCCGGAGCCACCCGCCAGGTGCCTTGCATACTCGGCCGCGCGCTGCGCCTCCGCCGCCGCCGCGGCCGCAGCAGCCGCGGCCTGCCGCGCGTCCTGGTAGACGCCTGGCCGCCCCACCGGGGGCACGCCGGCCGCCGGCCCTGGCCCTAACCCCTGCATCTGCAGCGGCGGCGGCCCCCCGTACACCGCGCCGCCACCGCCTCCGCCCCCGCCGCTGCCGCTGGCGCCGCCGTAGCCGCCGCCGTAGCCGCCGCTGGCGCCCGGCGGCGGGCCGGGGCTGATGCCGTCTGGCGGCAGCATCTCTCGCCGCGCCCTGTCCAGGTCCCACTCCACCTTGAACTCCTGGGCGATCTCTGACAGCACCTCCAGCTTCAGGGAAGCTTCGGGGGGCTCCACGGTCACGCAGCGGCGCAGCCGCTCGTTCACGTTCCACCTGGCCGGGCAGGTGGGGCAGGGCTTGTGAGTTGAGGTGCTCGTCCCAGAGAAGGTGGGAGGAGACGACTGACAACGCACGCGTGCCTGCCGTGCGCAACTCGCCCGCACCCGTGACGCCGCCGTCAGCAAGGCGCCGACAGCGGCCACAAACAGGGCAGAGGTGCCGCGTCAGCCCATTTCTCAACGCCGCCCCGCCACGCGCCGGCCCCTGCCCGAGCACACGCGGAACCAGCGGCCTCCACCTGTGGCACTCTGTGTCGCTGGATGCTGACTGGACGTACTCCTTGCCGTACTTCTGCGCGAAGATCTTGTGGAGGGTGAGAAGCTCCGGCAGGTCGGGCACCCTGCACATCAGAGGCGCGAATGGTGCAGCTGATGTCATCAGGCCGCAAGTCTGCTGCCACGGCATGCAGCAGCAGGGCAGTTCACCGCAGTGATGCGCGCCGTGAGCGGGGCCCGCTTCGGGTTGCGAGGACTCGCCTGCTGGCGCAGTAGAGGACGCTGCTGAGCGCCTCTGTCATGTCCCTGGGCACCTCCTTGGTGTTTGCCACCAGCGGGGCCCTCATCGCCAGCAGCTCCAGGAACAGCTCAAGGATGTCATAGGCCTGCGAGCAAGGCGAGGAGGCGGGATTCGGCTCTGCAAAACGTCTGTTGTCGCTGCAGCAGAGGGGAGCAGAGGTGTGTGCGCGAACGACGGGGGTGCGGCTGCCATCGGGACGCCGGACGCCCTGCCGTGTGCCCCTTCACCTGCAGCGTCAGGGACTCGCGGATGACGGCCTCAACTCGGATGCGCGCATAGTCCTGCTTTCCGGTTTTGAGCAGCTCAGCAATGTCCTTGCGATAATTGGCCACCTGCCGCAGCCAACGGTGGCAGGTGTGAACCACAGGTCAAGTGGCAGCAGATCGCGGCATGCACATACGCATGTGTCCTGAAAACGCCACGGGACACGGCGGCAGGATGCGGCCGGGTTCAGAGCGCAGCGGCGCAGCGCGTCCGGCGCGCGTCAGCACACAGCAGGCGCTTGCCTGCATTGTACGCTTGTTGCGCAGGAGCTTGATGCGGCCCAAGCAAAGCCTACACGTCGTCTCACTGCAATAGGGGTGATAAACGATGCCCACAGGGATCGCTGCGGTTGGTTTCGAGGCACCAGCAACTGATACAAGCGATCTGGATTCAGCTGACCAGCCCACCCACCATTTTGCTGCATTGAATTTCAAGGATCCCAGCATGATGGAGGACGCGTCCTCTCGGGTATGACTGGAGTCTCTCGCAGGTGCTCCTGGCACAAGCGCGTTCCTTCCAAGGGATCAACGGCCAGGGGGTCAGGCCAACGAGGAAGTATGTATAACATAACAGACGCCCTCACAACGTTCTGTGCGTGCATGCAAGCGCCGTGGAATTGGTGTGCCCAAGTCTGGCTGTGTCCTACCTGGAGCAGGGCAGCTTCCGAGCGCGGGTCGGCGCATCCCGCAAAGGCAGTGCACTGCGCCAGTTGCGAAAAGGCAGAAGCAACGCGCCTGCATGCTTAGCACTCTGCAGATACGCACTTCCCCCGATGCACAACCCTGTGGTCAACTAATGGCGCATTCCAAGGTGACCGCCCACTGCACAACTCGACTTCAGAGGCAAAGGGACCGCGACCCATGCTCATGCCCATTGATTTAAAGAGCCATGCGCATGCTCAGTGCTCTAAGGGGTCAGTCTGGCATGATGGAAAGCGATGTCATTGATGACGAGGTTACAAGGCTGCTGGAGGCCAGGCCATGTCGTCAAGTGACTGGCATTGACCAAGCCCCAGCACGTTGCCCTGCCAAGTAGCCTCAGCTCCTGCCCCCAGCCATCTCGGCCACCTCTGCGGCAAAGTCCTTTGCTCCTTCCGCCGCCTCCAGCCCCTCCCCAACCTGCACCCGCAAGAACCCCGTCACCTCCAGCGCGCCGCCGCCGACGCCGCCGCCGCCCTGCTTGCCGGCGCCCTGCTGCTGCAGCAGCTGCCGCACCGTCAGCGCGTCATCCAGGAGGTACCGCTGGTCCAGCAGGCACATCTGTGGCACAGGTCAGCAGTGCGGCATCCGTCGTGCCACAAGGTGAGTTGCAGGTCAAGCAGCCATGCTGGGGAGGCGGCAACCAAAATGTCACCGCAGGAGCGCCTCAGCAGGGTCAGGGTTGATCGAGAAGTCCGTTTGTACCAAGGGGTGTAGGTCGGAGTCGCACGGGAGTGTGTTTGCACCCTGTCACTGCAAGATTCCCCTGCGCACCTCCTGCGCCCACTTGGTAAGCCGCCCCGCCACCATCTTATCCAACACGGCCTGCGGCTTCCCGCTGCCTGCAGCCTGCTCCAGCAGCAGCTGCCGCTCGGCTTCCAGCACTGTCTCTGGCACTGCTGAGAGGTCTATGTACTGCGGCCGCAGCCCTGCCACGTGCATCGCCAGGTTGGTCGCCAGCTGCGCCGCCGCCGCCGCCTGGTCCTGCAAGCAGATGATCATGAGCGTTTCAAGCAGGGTGCGTTGCAGAGGGGGGCGAGTTTTGCCCAAGGCGCGTGGGCGCGGTGTGGGCATGCAGTAGTGGCATGACAGCGCACTCACTGAGCACGCAAGTGTGTAGAGAACCCGAAACAGCGCGGCCAACTCTAACGATGAGAATGCTACCCGGCACAGACACAGGCCCCCCAAAACCCTCCCCACACCCGCGCCCGCCTGCCCACCTGCTGCAGCGGCGCGCCGCCGGGCGCCGCCAGCGCAACCACCGATGCGATCCGGCCCAGCCCCGGCCCGGCCGCCATGTGCACATACCCTCCCACCACGCCGCCCGGAGCCGCAGCCAGCACGAACCCCCGGCGCAGCTTGATGTTCTCCCTGACCTTCGCGGCCACCTCAGCGCACGCGTCGGGCAGCGGGACCAAAGGCGCCGCGTCGCCGCCGCCGCTGCCGGGGCCGGCTGCTTCGGCGTCGTCCGAGTAGCTGCTCGGGCTTGGGACGGGCAGGGCTGCGAGCTGGGGGAGGGGGGTATGCGCGGGCAGGAGGCGAGGGCATACGGCGTGGTGTTTGCTGGGCCAGTGCCGTCTGCGCCGCCTTTACTCATTAATTGGGGGAGGCCCCGTGTTTGCAACTGCTAGCTGGCTGGAAGCACTGGCCCAAACCGGCCCTTTGCACAGGCTGGCGATCCCTGCCCCAGCTGCAGACATCCCCCCAGGGCGTGGGCCGCGGCGCCGAAAGGCAGCCCTCGCGCCCGCCCGCACCTCGTCTCCGGTCGCCTCCCGCGCCGCGCCGCCCGCGGCGCCGTCGAGCCGCAGCGCCGCGCGCGCGCCCTCCCCCACCAGCTGCCGGAAAAGCGCTGAGCGCCCCACGAAGTCCGTTTCGCTGTTGACCTCGACCACCGCAGCCTTTTCGCTGCCAGCGAGCGCGAGGCCGACCAGCCCGTCGGCGGCGTGCCGAGAGGCGCTCTTGGCGGCGGCCGCGAGCCCCTTTTTGCGCAGCGCGTCGTACGCTGCGTCGAGCGCCCAGCCGCTGGAGGCGAGGCAGGACTGCGGTACGATGCGTCATGCCATGGGGTTGCGGCGGAACAGGGCGGAGGGGGTGCGCGGACTGTCCGGGAGGGAGGTCGTGCGATGGCTGCAGTAGAGAGGATGCACGCCCGCGGACATGGCTGGGAGGTTGTGAGGCTCTCCAGGCGGCAGCACTAGTGCTGCCTGCCACATCAAACAACCGCAGCTGGCATGGCGTGGACTGCTTGCCTTGACGTCGCTGATTGGCGCGCCACTCTTTTCCCGCAGCTCCTTGATGAGTGCCATTGCATTAGAGGGCTGAGCTGTGGCGCTGGATGCAGCACGCCTTGCGCCGTCGCGCACGTTGGCCACGCTTGCAAGCTGACTGCTGCTGCCTTGCGTGGCTGCAAGCACCACAGGGGCCAGCAGTCTCAAAACATAAGGCGCATGTCTTGCTTGTTGCGTCGCGACCTGCATCTCGCTCGCGGGCTGCCGTAAACGAAACTGATTGGCTTCGATCTGCGAGTTAGATCTGGGTGTCGCCCTGTCGCGTTGTGTATCAATTGCACCAGTGCGATCTAAACAGCAACGGGTAATAATTCCTAAGGAGACAGCTCTGAAGCATTTTTGTCACCCGTGTAGCCGCCGCCTCCCTGAGGCGTCACGAGGCATACCTCGCAACAGCGACCCTTGTTGATACCTCGCCATCAGCAGCATCTGAGCACCTGATGCCGCTGGTCAATTGAGACATCCACACGCACGCAGCGATTTTATGCCTCAGCATCGACATGCGTGTTTGTGCCCCGGTTATCGCTGCGATTTTCAGCACCACCCCACTGTCAGCCATCAGATGAGAGCCTAGCGCGCAAGTACCCTGTCTGTTGCGCCCAGGCAGACAAGCTCCGCCGACTTACCCGCTTTGTTTCACCCAGCAATCTTGCAACAGCGCTTTGGGGCCACGAGCTGCATCAATGGCGAAGCCCTCACTGCCCTGCCGCACTTCAGCATGCAATGTTGGTCACGGCACTTGCAAGGTGAAGGATAAGATATCGCTCGCCCTCTCGCACCAAAGTGCGGCGGCAGAGGAGTGCACACGCCTGCCTGACTCTGTTGCGCAGGCGGCAAAACATCCAAGCACGCTTCAACAACCAAGAGCTAGGCACCAAGTCAGCTACCATCGATCATCACAAACACGGCAAAACAGCAGTGGAGTGTACAGCTAGGGTTGCACAGCTGGGGCCAATGGCGGGCCACCAGCAAAACAAAACATAGAGGACGTGCAGCAACCAATGCACGGCGTGCTGTCAGCGCCTGGATGAATCGTACACAAAACATTGGCACCATCCACAAGCAGCCTAAGATGAGAAGGGCCACCCCCGGCGCTGGGTCAGCCCTGCACCACGCTGCGGGCTGCCCGCCTCGCCGTCGCTGCCGCCTGCCACTACATGCTGCCACCCCTCGCCCGCCGCATCTCGCTCCCCCCTGTCCCTGGCCGCGGCGCCCGCCCCGCCGCCGCCGCCGCCTGCGCCCAGCGCCCGCGCGGCGCCGCCGCCACCGCGAGCGCCTGCGCCGACCATCCCCCGGATGGCGCCGACGGCCAGGCCGCTCACGCTCACGCTCTGCGCGGGCGCCTCCCACACAGCTTCATCATCGCTCTCCTCCTCCTCCTCTTCCTTCCCGTCCCTGCCGCCCCGCTGCCGCGTGCCCAAGAAGAACGGCGAAGGGCCATCATAGGGCGAGGACGGCTCTGAGATGCCGCCAGTGCCCTGGCCCGCTCCGTCCGCGCCCGGTCCGCCCACTGCCCCGCGAGACCCCGAGGCAGCGGCGCCGCCCTTGCCCACCGGAGACCACTGCCCGCTCGACGCGTCGTCCCCACCGCTCGCTCCCGCATCCCCAAAGCGCGCCGCGCCGCCGCCGCCCGCCGCCGAGGCCGCCGCGCCGGCGTGCCGCCGGTCCGGCGGCGCGTGCGAGACGCGCTCTGCGGCGCGGGCGCCCCAGCGAAGGATTGCGACGGCTGCGACGAGCAGCGCCCCGGCAAAGCCGCCGCCGCCCAGGGTCATCGCGACGCCGCTGGCCAGCAGCACGACGGCCAGCAAGGGGCCGGGGCTGAGGTGGTACAGGAATGACTCGATCCATCCTAGGTGGCGCGGGTGGCAGGGCAGCAGGACGGCAACAGGTGTCGACCACACGGCGGGAAACGTGCAGCAGGGTGGGAAGGGGGAGTGCAAGGCGGCGTGATGCAGTCACCAACGTGCCTGCCCTGCCGCTCAAGTGCCAGAACACTGCACGCGGCTCCTTGCAGGGAACAACGCCCCTCTGCACACAGGATCAGCGTGCCCGACCGTCCAACAGAGCGGATGGCACCCCTGGTGCCCAATCAGGGGCCTGAACCTTGCCCCCTGAAAAACCCACCGAGCCTGAGCCGCAGCCGCATGTCTGCTGAGTAGACCTTTGGCGGCCCATTTGCCGGCGACCGCCCAATCAGCCGCGCCCTGAAAAACACCGGCACCGGCGCCGAGGGCGCAGGCGCAGGCGCAGGCCCCGATGCGGGCGGCGGCGCCACCGCGGCGTCCCCGCCGGCGCCGGCGCCGCCGCTCCCGCGGCGCCGCCGGACAGGACGGCGCGGCGGCTTGGGGCCGGGGACGGCGAAGGAGTCAAACAGCACCAGCTCCACATGCTCTGAGTCATCATAAAGGCCCAGCGCAGCCCAAGGGGTAGTCAGCACGTAATGCAGCATCCGCGGCAGCGTGGGACGCAACCGCGGCATGTGAGTGCGCGCAGACCTGCCGAGCAGCTTCCCGTCGGCTGCCAGCAGCTCCCCCGTGACCTGAAACAGGTCCTGGTCGTACGGCGGCAGCCGCAGCAACACGCTGACCGCCGCGCGGCGCCCCGGCGACAGCAGCAGCGCGGGCGGCGCGTCGCCGCCCGCAGCCTCGCCCAGAGGGTGGCCTGCGCCCGCCGGGCCCCAGGCGGCAGCGTCGGGGCCAGCGGCCTTGGCTGCGCCGGTGTCGGCTGGGAAGCTGCCGAGAGGCGCTTCGGGGTCGACGGTGAGCTGGAGCAGCGCAAGGGCCGTTGATGTGGAAGTCCCATAGTCAAAGTATAGCGGCCGCTGCCACTCGATCACGCTCGGAAGATATATCCTGGCGTTTCAGTAAGAGAGGGCGGAGGTTGGGCAACCAGGGGCGTTGCAGCGCTCACGTCTGGCGTTGCAGCGCTCATTGTTTTGAGGCCGGAGGGCTGCAGTTGCCGCAGGGCGTTGCAGTGCGTTTCGTAAGGATGGCGACACATGGCAAGTAAACGGGTCTGCCTTTGAGAATCTACTGTGTTGCATATTGCCCACCTACTGATCAGCAGCCACGCCAGCAGGCAGGTGCCGCTGCATGCTACGGCCCACGACAGCGCCGCGCACAAGCCAAGCAGCGCTGCCTGCAGCGTGCTCAGCGTGCGGGCGGACGGCGGCGCAACGGCAGCAGTGCCCTCGCTCGCAGCATTTTGCGAGGAGCGACTGATGCTTGACGCATCGGCGTCCTGCACGTTGGGCGACGATGATTGGGTATTGGCAGCACGCAGGTGCAGCGCAGCACGAAAAACACGCTGTCCTGCGCGCCAGGCGCGCGGCCTGCGGCGCATGTGAGCAACGCCACAGGCTGGGTGATGCTCACGTCGGTGACATCTTGAAAAGGCTCCTCCTCGCCTTTGAACGTCCCTTTGCTGCGGCCGAACATGCAGACCGCTGATGACTTGAGCGCAGCGGGCGCGATATTTTTTACGTCGCTTTTCGGGTCGCTGAGAATGCGATACATGCCGATGAAAGCCGCTGCGCCTTCGTTTTGTTGGCTCGGTGCTTCGCACCTGCTCGCGCTGCGCTGCATCGTCATCACAGCACAGCACTGCCAGCCCACGTCACCCGATGGTGAGGCGCTTTGAGGGTCTGGAACTGCACATGCGATCTTTCCCAGGCAATGCACGCAATTCCTGCACAGGAGCATGCCAGTAAGCACGCTGTGCAGCCCTCGTACGCCCGCGGACAGCTCGGCGATCGATTAGCCCCCTGCTGCCCGCCTGTGCCCACAGCAAGCTGCATCCCCACCCCCCACCCCCGGAAACCTGGTATCCAGTCCTGTCCTGCCGGTTGCTGAGCATAGCATGCAGGTGTGCACATAGGTCAAGCAGCATGGCACAAATCCTCTCAGGGCCTTGTACTACATTGTTGGTTTTGTCGAACTGATCCAGATAGGTGTTGACTGTACAAGACCTGCTGAAACACACTCACTCAAATCCGGCAGCACAAATCCATATGACACAAGAACAATGAAGCATGCATGATTTTGTTCACAATGCACACTTGAACTGTGTTTAAAGATGGGCAAAAATGCTAAAGCGTACGCTGCTCTCACACAGTTCGCGCTCCAAAAAAACTTCCACTGGGCCCCTGCAGCATCCTGCTGATGCCTGCAACTACCTTGAAGACTCACAATTATAAATCTCCACACAGGGCCCCTGGGACCCCTGCTTTCCTGTCCAATGTTACCCTGCCACAGGCAATGCCGCCGCTGCCAGCGCCGACGCGATCGCCTGGGCCTCTTGCTGCCGCTTCTCCAGGTACTCCAAGGAGAGACCCTTCTTGTACTTGACACCGCTAGGGCACATGGGGGAAAGGTGTGTGGAGCATAAATTTGGTGGATGCCAAAGCCTGCGGCCGGTACCGCAGGCCATGAATTGCGGCAGCCGGCAGGGGTGTGACAAGGGCAGCTTCACAAGTGTTGGTGACAGTCAACTGGCACAGATCACCCACCACGCATTGCAGAGGGTGCGGGGCCCATCAGGCCCGGAGCGCCACTGTGGCGTGACACACGTGGCGCAGTTGGCGCAGCGGAATGCGCGACCAGGGTTCCGGGCAGGGAGCTTGATGGCTGCAAATGGTTGGTGAGGGGTTGACGCGCGGCTGGGGCGATTGAAGCAATGGCGACTTTGAGGGCAGGGCGGTCGGCGCAGAACTGAGATGACCGCACGGCTGTCTGCAAGGCAAATCGACTCCAAACAGAGCACTGAGGTGTAATGCAGGGCGCGTGCAAGGAATGCGCGAACGCAGCCGCCCACCTCTCCGCTTGTGCGCCTTCTTCGGACTCGCCGCCTTCCCCGCCGCCGACGCGCCACTCATGCTGCCACCCGTCGCGCACGCCAGCAACACTCCGGTTGCGGCCAACGGTGAGCTGGCGGGTGTGCTGGCGGCGCCATCGTCGCTGCTAGAGGCAGACGTGAGCGTCGCCTCGGTACCCAGCAGCCACGGGGCGGAAGAAAATGAGAATGACTGGGTGTTGCTTTGCTCTCTGGCCATCAGCAGCCAAGCTCCAGGCCCAGGCAGCTGGAGGCTTGGCTGCTGGTGGCGATGATGGTGCTGCTGATCCGCATGCCATTGCTGCTGCTGCTGCTGCTGCTGCTGCTGCTGCTGCTGCTGCTGCTGCTGCTGCTGCTGCTGCTGCTGCTGCTGCTGCTGCTGCTGCTGCTGCAGCTGCTGCAGCTGCTGCTCCTCTCCCAGGGGTGTCGACAGGGGCATTGGCGATGATGCTAGGTGCTGCGCCACAAATTCGCCCACTGCTGCGGATAACTGCGTGCGCTGACGTGGCGAATGGACTGCCATTCCACTGCGCTTGCGCACACCCCCAGGGCTTGGACCTGCTGATTTGCTGCCCACCAGCTGGAGCGGCGTGGTGCCACCGTCACCTGCATTTGCAGCCACTAACGACATCCACACGTCAGTGCTCGTGGCGCACGCCACGCTGCGGCTGCTTCCAGGGCTGCTCCCCATGTTGCACGTGGCGCCGCCCGCCGCTGCCAGCCCACTTGGCATCCGTAGCGCGCGCAGAACAGGAAGAGGGGTCGACGTCAGTGGGCTGCTGCCGGCTGCGCCGCCGCCGGCGGTCTCTGGCCTGGGGCTCGTCACCTCTTGACATGCAAAACCATCTTTTGCGTACAAGTCGACGGGGTCAAGCTGGCCTGCAGCCATGCGCTCTCCCATCGCGTCCTCGCCCTCTTGAAAGAGCTGCTCCATTGTCCGGTCCGACAGGCGCCGTGACAGTGGTGTGGTTGTGATCGCTGCCGCGTTGGCCACAAAGCTCGTCACCTGCTGCTGATGCTGCTTCTGCTGCTGCTGGTTCAGCTGATCATGGTGCTCCGAGCCCCAATAGTGTTGCTGTTGCTGCTGTTGCTGCTGCTGCTGCTGCTGCTGCTGCTGCTGCTGGTGGTGGTGTTGCTGCTGCCGGTGTTGCCTTGGTTGCTTCTGTTGCTGCAGATCGAGCTGCTGCAGCTCGTGCCAGTGAGCCTCATGTAAAACTGTGTGATCCTCCCATGTTGACTGCGCCGCTGCCATAGCATTTAGGCTCGCGGCACCAAACAGGCTTGCTGCACCCCCAAGGCTGGCCGAGCCGAGCAACAGCAAGGGACCCAAGACGTCACCTGTGGCTGGCGGGTGGACTGGGGCACCCGTGCCATGGCTCCCAGCTGCCCGCGAAGCTTGACGAGGTGCTTCATCTGGGACGTACATGTGCTGCAAGAGGCGCTCGTGCAGATGTGGCGCTTCACCGCCGCACAGCAGCGCTTCGTTGTCGTGCAGCAGCAGTTCAAGTGCGGCCAGCGAGCCGGATGCTAGGGGAGCCAGCCCCATGCGGCCAAGTTCCAAGGCGTCACAAACATCCATCTTCTCCTTCGTTGGTGATACAAGTTGCGTACAGACAGTCAGCGGGAAACAGCGAGGGTCTCGACAGCGGATTTTACATGCGGGTTCTTTGGTCGTGCAGACCCGCAAGTATGATTATCATTATCCATATACTCCCATGCCGACACACCTTGCACGCCTAGGGCAGCTCAATACGGAGTTTTAGCGGCCAACATGCAGAGCTGCTGGAGCGCGTCAGCCTGCTGCAAGGCCCTGACGCGATGCGCCTGGTATGCTGCTCAATGGGCGTGCTAAATGGGATTTCAGCCAGGCGACGTATCTATGAGCGCAAGGCTCATACGGTGAGTCAAAAGGTCACCAGCGACTGGCGGTTTCTGCAGTCGAGTGAGGATAACGCAGCAGTGCCTGAGTGTCGTTGCGAGCCACCGACACCCTCCAACCCCCCGCCGCCTCCTGTAATATCCAAACTCGGCCGCCGACCGAAAACATGCGCGGAATATGCTGGTTACAGCATTGTCAATGTGAGAGACGCCGCAAGTCAGAGATGGCAGCGTGAAGGAGTGAAACTTGTATGCCTGTACTGATAAAAGCTATCCAACAAGAAGATGCGCAAGCCAGAAGCCCAGTGACAGGTCAGGCCATAGCGTTGCGAATTTGCTTGGCCACCTCCTCCTGCGTAAGCAGCAACGGCATGAGCAGCCGCACCCAAGGTTTGTGTGTCTCACAAGGTTGATTGCGAAATCTTCTCGATGATCAGCATGACAAACGACCTCCTGACCAGCAGATGCTTCATTGGTTGGCATGCATGCAAACATGCACAAGTATGCTCAGCTCCATACACAAGCGTACGGGCGCATACAAATACACACACTCACATACTCACTCACACATTCGCGCCGTGTGCACCCATGCGGCCCTCTCGCCCACACATGCATGCGTACGTGCACAGTCGAACCCATGCGTCCCATACACACATCAACATATGCGCACATGCACGCACCCATCCCCACAAACCTGCGGCTTGGCGGCATCAATGATGGCCACCCGCTGCTTGTAGAACTCGATCAACTGAAAGGGACAGTGGAAGGGCGGTGACGCAAACAAAATCGGAAAGATTGCGACGGGCAGGGTGCAAGGCCGAGCTTGTGACCCGCGACCCGCGACTGATTGTCGGGGTCTTGGTGCAATCCCTGCTCAGAACAGCCCCAGTGCGCGTATGTCCCCCTTTGTTGACGCGTCACGCATCACCCTGCAGCACTCACGGGCGCTGTCTGCGAGTGAAAGGCCGCCAGGCGGGCCTTGAGGGTCTCCGCGTTGTCGTCCTTGCGGCGCACCAGGGGCTCGCCTACAGAGTCCAGCGGGAAGGCGCCGGCAGCAAACTCAGCTTGCAGTCGTTCTCAAATGTTATCAGTGTAATTGAGATGGGTGCAGACCATACAATGGGACACACTCCACGAAACCCCAGCGCAATGCGTGTGAGCGCGCACATCCTGGCTGGACGTCTTCAATCGGCTGCTCAGGTTGGAACGTGTGTCCTTGCTGGCGCGCCACGACATCACAAGGCCACCTGCCTGCCCAAATTCATGAATGCCGGCACTCACCCGTGATGTCGTCCTTGCCCGGCACCTTTGGGGGGGCGAAGCGCTCGTGGTAGCTGCGCCCGCTTGACGGGTGGATCAGGCGGCCAGTGATGCGCTCCACCTGGGCAGCGGTGTGGTTGTTGCGAAGAAGGGCGCATGGCCGCATGAGATCCTCATAAGATCCTCATAGCTTTACATTGGATTTGCACCCCCTCTGAACAGGCTGTCGAGCGGTTGCTCCCCCCAAGCCGCCATGCACCCCCAACAGGATACCACCACCCACCAGGAGGCTGTCAGGCACATCAAAGTTCAGCACCGCGTCGATCTTCTTGTGACGCTGCTCCAGCATCTCGTCGAGCTTCTCGGCCTGAGAATGGTGGAAGGATTGCGGCAGGGCGCGTAAAATGGCAGGGGCCGTGAAGCCAAGGTCTTGGCCGCCACCACCAGGGGGCCCAGGACTTTCCATGCCATTGGGTTGGCCGGCCAGGGCGTGACCGCCCGCGCGGCCGCCAGATGCCAGGCCCGACCTCGAGCAGGCAATGGCGCAAGCAGCCCACGAGCTGCTCATTGCCGGGAGGGGTCGCAGTTCAGGGGCGGAGCTTGAGGCATGACGCTGACCTGCGGCAGGGTGCGCGGGAAGCCGTCGAGGATGAAGCCCCTGGAGCACTCCGGCCTGAGGGCGCGAGGGGTGGCGGTCACCAATGGCAAGGTTGTCAGTCATGGCAAAGCCGGGGTCGAGCGCGAGCGCAGCAAGGGCTGGCTGCGAAGTGGGCGATGCTCAGGCGCCTGGCAGCGCCGCAGAGACGAGTGACGGCGTGACAGGTCGTTAAGCTGCCGCTTGCGCCACATGGAGCCCTGCTGCCATTACTTGTGCAACTCCGACCCGCCAGCCGGCTGCTGCCCTTGCCTGGCCCCTCTCTTTTGATCGGCACCCAGGACGTGAACAAGATGTTGCAGGCGGAATCCTCACAAGCCCAGCAGCGGTCACGTCGCTTTCGAACGCACCTGTCCATGGCCTCGTTGATTAGGCCCACGACGATTTCATCGCTGACCAAAGCGCCGCTCTCCATCGCCTTCTTGGCCTATTATATTGCGTGAGGATTGAGCTTTGGGTGTGGAGACATGGTGCGTAGGGAGCGCTGGACAGTGATGTGCGCTGGGAGATCAGAGGGCGGGCGGCTGCACCCATGGCACCATTCCAAGGTCAGGTTCTGAACAACAGCAACATGCTGTGCGCGTGCAAGTCACCAGCGCGCGGCATTCCAATACGTCAATCCTTTGAGCTACGACGCAAACTGCTCCTGATGTTAAGCTGCCGAAGTACTTCTTGCCCCTTGAGAACGCGCATGTACCATCGGCACGCACCTCCATCCCCAGGGGCGTCCCGGCGGCCACCGCGGCGCGCAGCATGTCACCTGCCAGAGGCGAAAGAGGTTCCCCCATTTCTCAAGGGAAAAGGGTGTGCCTTGCAACATGTCACATGTCGCCATGTGCGGTGGCTGTGCGGGCGCCTGCAGTTACGGATGGTCCCTACAGGAGGCACGCTAGACAACAGGCGCTCACCAGTGGCCAAGTGGCAAAGGCAGTATTCGTCCTTGATGACAGGCGACTGCGTCCCCTTGCCACAGCCAGGCGGGCCTGCGTTGCGTCGCGATGCGTTGGGCGCACTCGTAGGCCACGCCACTCTCAACAGCACCCGCCGCAGGTGCGTGCGCGGCCCGGCCATCAGCTGCCCTGAATTGCACACCAACAAGCACGATGTTCTGTGGACGTTTCTCGTTGCAGGCCAGCCGCCTGCCGAGCTCGTTCATCAGCGACCCGATCGAAACGGTGGAGAGGTCCACGCTCATCCTGGACTGACGCGCAGATGTGCTGAATGAGATTGATTGTGCAGTCTTATGGTGCTAGGCACCCAGCCGCCTCCAGATCAGGAGTTTCGCTGTGATTGTGCCGTCGGCCCAACGTACTACCGCAAATGAGGGCTTGCTGGAGAGAGTCTTGCTTTGATGTGACCTCAACGTGCTAATTGACCCTGACGAAGACATCTGAACAGCAACAGGCGCCGTTCCGCACCTGTTGAGCTGCGCATGTGCAAGAGGGCATCCTTTTTTGGCGCCTGCAGAGGGAGCCTCCGCAGGCGCTTGTCAGCATGAGTCCAATCTAGATATAGCACGTGAACGATCCAAGTGGTGTTTTTGCTTGGGGATTGCGCTGTTGACCATTTCACGCACCTTTGACCCAGCTGCCTGCAACACTATGGGGCTTGTACTGTGGTGATGGAGGAACCCAAGCAGTTGTCAGCAGGCTGGTTGAGAGGATAATGCGGCTCTGGTGGTTTACAGGGCTTTTGGTCTGGAGAAGGGCGTCGCAGGGGCCAGGCATCCTGTGTGCTTCGTGGAAGCGACAACTGACTGAAACCGTTTGGACCACACCGTCTCTCAGTCTCTGGGGCATACGAAAGACATTGCAATCGTGATGCTGATTTTAGGCAGCGTGATGGAGGAGGTGCAGGACGCTCGGCCGCGTGCCATCTGATCTGTTCTCTCTGCCATGGGTCCCGTTCCTAGCGTTGATTGCACGCTGCGCCGCATGATCCTGCTTCCCCTCCTACCCGCATGCACGCACTTGCACCCACACCCACTTGCACCCCACACACACTTGCGCTTATGCGCACGGGCAAGCATGCCCAGGTGCATTGCACCAACATAGATTCACGCAAAATGCACTCATGCACGCCCTACATGCTCTTGCATACACGCGCACGCGTTCACACACGCACATGTGCGCACATGCACACAGGCATGCAGGGTTTCTCACCCTCAATGATGAGCCACCCAGGCACTCTCAATTATTTGTTTCACATTTAAAGACCTACAACAGGTGACAGGCACCATCTGTCAGGGTGGACACAGGTGTCAGGCACCAGTTGCCACAATCTGGTGACACCAGCTGCAAGTGATCTGGTTGTTGGCGTTGCCTATCGGTATATGCGACCGTCCACAGCTTTTGCGCTTCATGTCCACCAAACTGGACATGATGGTCGCGCTTACAGGTCACCCAGCAATGATGACACGGGGCCTCCACATTCCCGACCGTGGCTTAGCCGCCCTTGTGGCACCAACCCCAAGGAGTTCTCAAAACAGTCGGTGCGGCGGAGCGGCGCTGATGATGTTGCTGCGGGTGCATGGCGCCGGCGCATGCGGCGGCGCATCTCTGCCTCTAGCTACTCTGCGTGTTTTGAACGGTGAAAACACACCGCGATCCCGTCGCTACACCCATGTCAGACGTCGTTGCACACCTGGTCCAATCAAACCTCGCAGCCCCAGGCGCACCCCACATCGCCGCGCCGCCACGCCGCCCGACGGCACGGGCGGCTTCGCGGTGGCCTCGGCCCCTGCAGCGGCGCCCCGCACGTCCCTCATCCCTGAGACGCTCCTTGAGATGGAGTCTGACGGCGAGCTGCAGGCGACGTTGGCGGCGCTGGCGCAGAAGGGGCAGGCTGCGCTGACACGAGAGGAGCGCGTCGCGCGGCAGCGGTCCCTGGCGGGCCTCGGCGCGCCGTCCTTCACGCGCGTGTGCCAGGTGCGGCGGCCGGCGCGCACGCCATGCGCGACCCCAGCCGGCAGGGGCTGTTGTTGTTGTGGCCTCACTCTATGCAATGCTGGCGGGTGCGGCACGCCCCGCGACGGCCCTCCTTGGCATGCTCCAGCACTATGCTACCCCCACTCAAACCTCGTTGCTAATGCGCCGCCCAACACCCGCTGGCCGCATCGCGCGCCAGGACAAAGGCGTCGCGCCGCTGTTGCGGTCGCAGGCGCGCATCCTGCAGCTCAACGTCGGGCTGTATTGCAACCAGGCACGCATTCTTGAAAGAGCCTTGGCGCCTGCATTGGGGCTGGCTGTGCGCGAGGTCCTGCTGCCACCTGCGAGGTTCTCTTTGCCCATGACGGGTACTGCATGTCGTACTTATCACAACAGCATTCCTGGATCATGTTTGACGCAAGACTGGCGCACACGCATGCATGCAGCATGCAGCCCCAAGCTGCCCCCCAGCAACTTTGACCAGCACGCGCAACCCCCTTCCCCCCCGCGCGCAGGCCTGCACGCACTGCCACGTCGAGAGCAGCCCCAGGCGCACCGAGATGATGGATGCCGCAACTGTCGACAGATGCCTGGAGCTGCTGGCCTCGGCGCCGGGCGTGCACACACTCGACATCACTGGCGGGGCGCCAGAGCTCATCCCGCAGTTCAGGTGCGCCAGCCACTCAAGCGCCCGCGCGCCCTCACCGCTGGACCCCGCTCTATGCTCAGCGCTTGCCGCCGTACTGCGATCCCCGCCTCTTCCCACCAGCCCCCCGGGTCCAGCCGCAGGCCGCCCGTCAACCCCTCGCCTCTCCGCCAACCTGCGTGCTCACTCCGCCCCCCGCACGGCAGGCGCCTCGTCGCCGGCGCGCGCGCACTGCGGCCCGACCCCGCCTCGTTCTCCATCATCGACCGCTGCAACCTCACGGTGCTGCTGGAGCCCGGCCAGGAGGACACCCCCGCCTTCCTCGCCGCCCACGGCGTCCGCGTCGTCGCCAGCCTGCCCTGCTACTCCCAGTCCAACGTGGACTCCCAACGCGGCGCGGGCGTGTTTGAGCGGAGCATCAGCGGGCTGAAGCTCCTGAACGGCGTCGGGTACGGGCAGCCGGGCAGCGGGCTGTCGCTGGACCTGGTGTACAACCCTGGGGGCGCGTTTCTGGCGCCGTCACAGGAGAAGCTGGAGCCGGCGTACAAGCAGGAGCTCTGGGAGGTCAGTGCAGTGATGTGTGTGTGTGTGTGTGTGTGTGTGTGTGTGTGTGCGCGCGCGTGTATGTGCGCGCGTGGGCGCTTGGATGGGGGCGTGCGTGGGTTGATTGGTTTTTGTTATGGCTTGGGCGGCGTAGGTATGGTGGGGCTGGGAAGGCGGAGAAGCAGCCAGGGCGGGAATGGTGGAACGCCGTGTGGTATGAGAGAACGGCAGGAGGCTTGTCCATTCAAAAAATCTGGCATCTGCCCAGGGCAGGGCGGGGTGGGCGTACGCCTGCAGGGCGCCTCAGCTGCAGGCGGCAGAGGCGCAGCGTCCCCAGCACGTGCCCGGGAGCACTCCTTTGACCCGCTTCGGCGGGATTTGCTCCTGCGCCCCAACAAACCCCGAATTCCAACCTGCCCCCTGCTCTTCGCAGGCCCACGGCGTGGCGTTCAACAGCCTGCTCTGCCTGAACAACATGCCCATCAAGCGCTTCGCGGACTGGCTGGCGCGGCGCGGCAAGATGGAGGAGTACATGGGGCTGCTGGTCAACGCCTTCAACCCTGCGGCGGGCGAGGGCCTCATGTGCCGCGACACGGTCAGCGTGCGGTACGACGGGCGGCTGTACGACTGCGACTTCAACCAGCAGCTGGACATGCCCATGCTGATGCGGCGCGGGGCCGGGGGCGGCGACGTGGATGTGGAGGGCATCGAGGGTGGGGAGGGTGCGGAGGCAGGGGTGGGGGCAGCGCTCGGGCCGAGCGTGTTTGACTTGGCCAGTCTGGATGAGCTGTCGGGGCGGCGCATAGCTGTGGACAACCACTGCTTTGGTTGCACGGCGGGGGCTGGGTCGGGGTGCCAGGGGTCAACCAGCACACAGGCAACAGGGGCGTCGTCAGAGACAGACTGACATGGCAAGAATCTCTCCAGCCGCGGCCGCGATCTCGGCTGCACCCATGATGCCCGCGCTTCTTGCCTCAGCACGGCAGCAGCCTGGAGGTTGCAACTTGTGTTGGAAATGCCCTGCTTGTTGTATGTGTTGCGCTTGCGCTTGCGTGTCGGCGGGGCTGTTTGATCTCCATGATGCACAACCATCAGGATATCGAGGGTGAATGCAGGCACCCTTGTGCCACGCCTTCGCTCATCCGGCAGGGCGGCCCGTAACTTGCTGCATTACTGGTCGCCCACCCCCCCCCCTCGATTGTTGGATCCTGGCAGCTGCTCAAAGGCTGCATGTGTCGCATCAGCAGCATTCGCTGCCCTGGTACACGCTGCTGCTCCTGTAACTTCCCCTGTATGCAGCAGTGCTGAAATCAACATTTCTTGCGGTGTTACAAGCCGTTTCTGAGCCAGGGCTTCCTCGAGTGCATAAATAATAGAGAGTGCAGACCATGGCGTACTGTATCATTATGCGCAAAGGGGACGGTCAGCTGCGACACACACAACGTGGCTTGACCTAGGGCTTGCCGCAGTAAACACCTCTGCACAAGGGGAGGCAGGCACCAGAGAGTGTGCGCGCTGTGCGCGCACTGTGGCGGCGCATGATGACTGGGGTTCTGGTTGTGCGCCTGTGGCGGTGGCGCAAGGCTCTTTGGGTCACAAGAGTGCACCTTGGGTGTCGGCTGTGATGCGTTTGGCTTTCATCCTAGGGAGTCACACGTAAAGAGGAGTGGAAGGGACCGCTGCAGCCTGGCAGCGACGACAGCGAA